CCCTGAGGGAGGAGCAGGGGGCCCCAGGCCCCTTCTGTGTGGGGTAGGAGCTGTGCCTGGGGGCCAGGTTGCTCAACCCCTTGCACAGATGGGAGGTGGGGTGTGGGGCAGGGCCTGCCAGGTGCTGTCACCTGCACTGTGCTTTGGGCTGCATGTGGGCTGGGCAGTGCTTAGTTAGGCCTTGGGGATTAAGATCCCCTGGAGGCAGCATGATGGTCTGTGCTGACAGCAGTAGGGCTGGGCCAGGCGCTTTGTTCTAAAAGGGCAACAGAATTAGCTTGGCAATGAGGGAGGGTGTCAGAGCAGAGGAGCAAATCATCTACATACTGAACAAGCACAGGATCAGGAGGCAGCTGGACTGTATCAAGGTCAAACTTGAGAAGCTGGCTGTATATGGTGGGGGAGTCACGGAAACCTTGAGGCAGACGGGTGAAGGTATACTGCCGGCCCTGATAAGTAAAAGCAAAAAGATACTGAGAATCAGAGTGAATTGGTATAGAAAAAAAAGCATTACAGAGATCCACTACAGAAAACCAAGAGGCAGAAGCAGGTATCTGAGAAAGAACAGTGGCAGGGTTGGGCACCACAGCTGTCAAGGGAACCACAAAATTGTTAACACCACACAAATCTTGAACAAACCCATAAACAGGCAATCCTTCAGGGGTGAATTTCCCTGGTTTGCGGTGTATAACAGGTGCAATGCCTCAAGAGGCAGCAGCCGACAGCGGGTATTGCGGGACCGATGGGGGAGACACTCCTGGTTTAACCTTGATAGAAACTGGGATGGCACTCTTAAGAAGCCCCACATCAGTTGTGGAGTGGGACCAAAAGGACTCAGGAAGGTGAGCCAATAGTTTCTGTTGCAACGAGGAAGAATTGGGCTCGGGTTCTTGTTCCATTAGTGTCATCATCAAGGCAGGAATTTGGGTCTAGGGTAATGAAAGGAAAACCCCATCTGGGGAACAATGAACAGTGGCTTGTAACTTGCACGGGAGGTCTCGCCCCAGCAGGTTTACAGAAGCACAAGGACTTAACAAAAAGGCATGTTGCTCAGTAAGGGGACCTAAGGTAAACAAGAGCGGCTGCGTAACAGGGTGGTCAATAGGTTGATCCCCAATACTTACAGCGGTGGTTACTTTATCAGAAATTGGAACCTTAGAAACAAAATCAGAGTTAAGCATAGACAAAGAAGCACCGGTCCCAATAAGAAAGGGAACAGTCTGTTTTCCCAAAGTAACAGGTATTGTAGCATCAGAAAGGGTAGAAAGCAAAGGGGCTAGAGCCTCTGGGTTTTCCCAGCTGTCCTAACACTGATCTTCACCTTCGAAGGACTGGAGAGGAGCTGGTTCGGATGGTGGAGCTCAGCGGGCGCCTGGCTGAAACGGAGGGGCACTAGCTGAGAGCAGGGGCCCCCGGGGTCTATTTGGGCACTCATTCTTCCAGTGACCTTTGTTTGCAGTAGCGACAGACATCATTAGGAACGTCAAAGTGACCGGGTGGCCAGGTCGAGCAAAACGGTCCGGTAGAGCACCAGAGTCCGGTGTTACCTTGAAGGTCTCTGATTTGCAGAGCCATCAATTTTTCCTGAGCCTTTGATTTTTGCTGTTGAGCTTTAGTATAGAAATGAGTGGCAGTAGCCAGAATTCTGGTGATGGGTTTAGCTCCCCATCCAATTACAGCAGTCTGCAGGGGCTCAGAAATCTTTGGCAACACCCCTAAAACAAAGGTCTGGATGATCACGGCAGAAAGGTTAGCTTCTGGGTCTTCATTGCCGGAATGTGCCTTAAAGGCTTGGATCAGGCGAGAAGAGGAATCGGCAGGGTGTTCTTCTAGCTTCTGTTTACACGTAGACATTTTGGACCAATCTGTCTTTTGTGGGGAAACCTTAGGGACAGCATCTCGGACTTGTTTATAGAGGTCCCACAGACCGGCATTGCCGGGGTCCTGAGCAGGCTAATGGGCCTCTTTGAGGAGGGTGTCCCTTTAGTCTCCAGAGACAAGATCACTGAGGAGCATCTGAATGTTACCGTAAGTTGGCTTATAGACCTCAAAAAGGGTTTTAAGCTTTTGAGCAAACCCGGTAGGGTCTTCACGGAGCTTAGGGAAAGTAGTTGACCAGGAAATGATTTCTGAGGGTGAGAAGGTGCCATGGACTACCAGAGATTGCTCCCCCCGGCACAGGGTACTCTCCGAGAAGATACTGCGCGGCAGCAAGGTTTCCTCCCCGGCGAGTAGTAACGTGTCTTACAGTGGCTCCCTTTGTGTCTATGTCGGTGATAGCATTGCGGTGATTCTGAAGAGTGAATCCGATCAGGGAGTCTGAAGGTGATCAATCTGTTTCTTAAATTTTTCCTCATTTTCCTTATAGAAAGCCATAAGGGAGTGCTTATTGCGCTTTTCCGACTCGTCTTCCCATAGGTACCAGGCTTTTATTTAAACAGGGTGCTTACTTTCCAAATTTCCCCAGAGGTGTTTGAGAATTTGATGATCCCAGGACCCATCTAAGGGCCAGAGTAACTTACGGTCATTATTGGTATACTGATTCCAATTTGTTAAGTATTGAGTTGACCGGGGCTCACATTTTAAATGCATGAACCAGGTGGGATTCTGCTGCGGGACCTTAGAGGTCCCGCTACCCATTGTCACGCCTAGGACTTACAGACACCAAAACAGACAGGTACTCACCCTGGCCAGGGACTTTTCCTGCAACACCAAGCAGGCAGATGACAGATCAGGGTCCGGAGTGTCAAAGCTGCAGAGCCAAAGAACTGGGTCGAGGAGAGCCTTCTCGGAGCGACGGAGTCAAAGAGCCAAGACAAGGGTCCTACCCAGGGCGGTCTGTGTGAGGACACATCCCAGACCAAGCCCCCAAGGTGATGTGGAAATCACAACAGGATCACTGCTTGGCTAACAGAGCGCTTCGCTTTATTTTACATGGCCACAGGAGAAGCAGCAAGGGCAGCTGATTCTCTGCAGCTGCAGAGTCCAGACTGTTATATACTTGTAAGAAACAGACAAACAAAAGTCTCCCCCTTAATACATTCTTGGCAGTCTGACAATAAATCACCCTAGAGTCCTGCTAAACCAAACATGTTTTCTCTAGCTGTATTCCGATAAGTTTCATCTCAAGGCCCCTTTGTTTTTCAGCCTTTACTTATGCTCCTTATTAATTTTATTTAGCTTCACTTTATTTTCGCTTGCCCCGGTACTTTTCCTCATCAATCATTTGGATAGAAAGTACCCCATCTCATTTTCCAAAAAAGCAGTAAATGCTACATTTTCACTTTTGTCTACACGTACTACTGTAAACTACTTTCAGAATAGCCTTCTTCAGTGGATGACAAATTAATCCAAAATGATTCCACACAAATTAAGATGAGTGTGACAAAGTTATAGCCCACGGAGCACTATTATCTGGTCCCTGGTGCTGCCCCTGGATCTGAGTACACCTAGAAGAATGAACACATTGTATGCAGACTGGCCCCATGTGACATGCAGTTTGTTCTAGGATACCCACTGTTCATTCCAGTTAAGGATCCATGGAGAATATGGCACCTATCTTAGTCACTCTGAGATCCACATTACATGCAGCGCCCATTATAGCTGGCTCAGGATCCGAACAGCAGACAGCACCTGCTCTGGGATCCACAAGGATGATCATCTTTCACAATTGCTTTATCTGTGGGTCCAAAGATGACCAATGAGGCTGATCTGGGATTGACAGACTGCTGTAACTTGGGCATGTGTTTCCAAGCAGAGTGGGTGGCTCTGGATTCTTGATTTGGTCCCCAAGACACTGCTTCCGCTGCTCCCACTTTTTTGTCTCCTGTTGTCATCATAAGGCTTTGAAGTACTGAGATCCTTGCAGCAGACTCTTCCTCCACTTGGGGTGGTCCTGGGTGATAGTGTCCCATGAGTCAATGTTGAGGTTGCATTTTTTAAAGTTGAGGATATCCTTGAAGCACTTTCTCTGTCCTTCTCTTGAGCATGCACCTTGATTGAGCTGGGAAAATAAAACTTGCTTCTGGAATGGGCATCCTGATGTTGTGTCCAGCCTAGTGAACTTGCTGTTCGAATGATCATTACCTCAACGCTCGTGGGGTTTGCTTGTGAAAGGACACCAACGTTGAAGCATCTGTCTTCCCACTGGATTTGAAGGATCTTACACAGGCAACTTTGATGGCATTTCTTCAGTAACTTGAGATGTCTCCTGTATGCTTGCTGTCCATGTCTCTGTTCTGTATAGGAAGGTGGGGATCACAACTGTTTGATAAACCATGAGCCTGGTTTCAGATCTGATGTTGCAATTTTTGAACACCTGAATAAGCAGTTGCAGACTAAGCAGCAGCAGCACTACCAGAATGTGGTGGGGACAGCAAATGACAATGGTTTGCTTCCTGAAAAGCCAGATATACCCTTTGACAGTGCTGTGACACAGTGACTACAGGTTGCTGTTATAATAAGCCTGCCCAGCCCTGAGCCAGTCCTCAACGGTGGAGCAGGCAGTTGTTAGAATCTCAATGACTGTGAAGGTGGACGAAGGTTGCAGTGGAATTAGGTCTCCAACTGTCTTGGCCTCCTTGCCCTTAGATCAAGGTCCTGTTCTATCAAGAATCATATGGAAAAGTTGCTGCACATCAGCTTCCATGTTAAAAGAAATCATACACAGGCATCTTCCATGAAAATGGATCCATGTCACATACAGCACCTGCTCTAGCTGCTCTGGGACCCGTGTGCTAGATCCACTGTTGGGATACATGGGCTGGATTTTGATAGCCCTGGTTTAAACAATGATTTCAGTATTTTAACTTCTCTATTCTGTATAGCTAAAAACAAAACCACAGGGCTTTGTTTTTTGAACAATAAAACACTTCCCTTGCTTAGAGTATCAGCTGGTCTTTGTGTGAGCTATGTGAATGTGTTGGTTCTTCACATGTGAATCTAAAGTTACATTCTACTGAATCTACTAATATCAATGAATATAGTTTTATTTACGTTTAAAAATAATCTATGCTTGCCAGTGTGGCAGTACTCTCTCCCACTCTTATAGCTGAAACCATTTATTGATGAATGCTCTGGAAAAAACATAGTATTAAGCTCCATCAGATGACACAAAGCCAGTAAGTTTTCACAAAGGAAATCAATTTTGATTTTAACTGACACATCTAGTTTCTTCCTATACTTTAATAAGAACTAATTTTATAGTTACCTTACAAAATTAAATATTTTAATATTTATATACATTCTGCTCCAAAAATGGACTTTAGGGGGGTTTTTTTGTACATTTCTCTTAGAAACACATAAAAACCACAGCATACTCAGCCATTCTCTTGCAGTTAAAAGGGACACAACAACTTAAAAAAAAACCCTGCTTTATTTTTTGAACCCGTTATTGAAAGAAATCTCTCCTCAGATTAGTGTAACTGGAGAATTAAGAGTTCTCTCCATCCCAGTTCATTTCATGCATTAAACTGTGTTTAATGCATGGCTTTGCTATTACACCTGTTGGAATAGGTCATATACATAGCAAGGAAAAGCTTAAAAGTGGGCAAAATGCGATTGTAAAATTATAAAAATTGGGAAATGAGAGCAGGCTTACATAGCATTTAGAACTTTTGTTTTATTTTTAAAAACCAATTCAATTTAAGTTGCTTGTGTCCCTTTAATATCTTGCCATATATTTTTGTAAATAATTTTACAGAATTTACTCTTAATTTTACTTTGATAGATGTCAGCTCAGGTGACAATATATGTTCACTTAAGTTAACTCAAAAGAATACCAAGGTAAAAAAAACTAGTTCATCTGCAGGAATAGAATAGTTTACAGTCTAGATAATGCATACATTTCATTTAACAGGCAGCTGTACCAAATTTTTTATACAAAACTTACATTCAGAGAAACAAATGTTAATACTCCCTCCTTACTTAGAGAGACCATGGATACTGTTTTTTTCAAAACCAGTTGTCAACAAGAGCAGTGAAAAGTGAGCAGCCACATGACTCAAATCTCATTTAAGTCTAAGGGTTTACCTGGAACAACTGTATGAGCAATTTCCTGCAAGGATTTTTCCTGATCATATGGTTGAATATGTGCTAGAGTTTAATACAAAGCAATGAGACCTACAGTTTTTAAACCCATAGAGATCATTTAATAATACAACTGATTCGGCTTCTTACTAGTCTCCATTTCTATGCATTACCACAACTTCAGTTTTGCCAGTTTAAATTAAGGTCATCCAAGGAGGCACTTTGAAGTGATCTTAAAACTGCGTTGCTACAAAATTTGGTAACATGAAAGACGTCAACCAAATATACTATGGGGCTCCCCAACTCCATAAAGACAGGACTCTTCAGCCTAAGCATGGGTAATGTGGAGAAAGGGGTGCCAGTAGGAGGATGCTATTTGGACTTCTCGCACAGGGTCAGTACATATTATGATATGGTTTAAAGAGATTCTTCACATAGCAATGTGGGGAGAGGATCCACAATACTCAACTGGCACACATGGCCAGAATTTGACTGAGAGCACCCCAACAAGGAAGCAAAAATACCTGAATCAGAAGCAACATTACAGGGGTCCACTCAGTGCCCACAGACCAGAAGTCAACTCCCAGAATTGCACCCACCACATTCAACTTAGTCCAAGAGAGTACACATCTACTTCTCAGCCAATATTCTGGACATCAATAAAACAGGTGGAAAAACATACAGGTATGTAATTCAAATTGTGATGCTTAAATTCCCTGCATGTACCAGAACCAAGTTTACTTTATAACAATACTAAACTGCATAGCATTGGAAAAGAAGGCATCCTGAATGGCTGAAGTGGAAAAGTAGTGATTTACTGATTGGTTATTAGCATTTTGGAGTTTACATACTATACAGTAAACTCTTGCCTGTAACAACTCTAGCTCACCAGTTTAAGTCTATTTTAACAAGTCCAGAGAATTTAAAAGTGATTAGTTTAGACAAACTGCTGCACGTTCTGCTTTCATGTCCTTTTAGCTGGCTTTGCTGTTAACTGTTTCTCTCTTTCAAATTCCCTCTCACGTTGCTGTTCTCGTTCCAGTTCTTCCTTTTGCCTCTTTTGCTGAAGTTTTAGTGCTCTCTTCTACACCAAAAGAAAAACCAAAAAACGATTAGAAAGGTCCATGATTTGAGGACTGCAACTCAAATGAGGCAAATTATCCACATATCAACGGTTGAAATCCTGCTGAATACTTCTATAGTTCTCTTAATCCAAAGGGCCCTTCCTCTTTTACTACCTTTATTCTATGCTCCTTATACTTGTCCCGGCATCATGGTGCTGCATGTATCTAGGGGAGCTATAAACTGGATTCCTCCAAATCACACTAATGCTACCCCTACCAAAGGAGTTATACACTATACAAGCTCTTTTCTCTACAAATAACCTGGATCTTGCTGGACAGGATGGAAAAACAAAACTTAATGCCAGAATGAAATCAGACTGACATTTTGCTTAGCAGCCCAAGAGATCATTAAAAATTATGCAGCAGTTGGAATATTACAGCGGTGCTCATAGTTTTGGTCCTGCCAGCCAGATGGAAGGCACAGGGCTGTTCTGAAGGCTGGACTGTGCTTTGTACCTTTCCCAACTGGCCAGGATCAGGTCCCAGGGGTCCCACACTATTCTGAGTGCCTGATCCACCATGAAGGACTACAGCCTGCGGGGATACCCACAGATCCATGGGGAACCTTGAGGATCACATAATATGGCACTGGGGACTGGATCTGGCCCGTGGGCTGGGGGCAGAGTATCCCAGGTGTATTATATTAAGGAATGGAGAAGAGCAAAATTCTCAGCTTTAGCTTCAAGACAGATTTTAACTTTTCTTTAAAAAGGTGCATACCAAAACCCCACAACAAGCTAGTGTTATGGGGAGACAAGAGGTCAAAAAATGTAAATTTTAGTAATGCTCATGAGATACGACAGAATTCTTGGACAGGATCAACATCACAAATGAGGCTGGTGTACAGATTTTCTTTTTTCTTTTTTAAATGCCTGGAGATTTAAAATGAGGGTTAAAAACAACAACAGCTTGTTTCAATGCCATTGAAAATACAACTGCATGGAGTTCCAGAAAAGAGGAAGTTTCTATCTGCAAACTTTAACCACACATTAAAGGCACTGAATAAGAGAATTCATAAAATGCTGTTAAACTTCCATGTTAACAGACAAAATGAAGATGCAAAGTTCACTTACTTTCAACTTTGAAGTCTTTTCATGGAGCATCAGCATCTCTTTTCTAATGTTCACTAACTTGTTGTGATAATGTTTGGCTTCTAAAAACTTTCAAAAGACAAGACAAATTAAAGACAATATTCAGGATCAACATCTTAGTCAGTCCAGAAATAGCTTTATGAAGCTATCACCCAAAACAGCACCAAAAATCCTTGAAATTAGCTTGAATGTATTTTACGTATTCAAGTTTTTAACTATTATTGTACATAATAACATTCATTCTTATGAATGTACATCAAAAAGAACATACTACTATACTGAATTAAAGATCAGTGCAGGTGAAAAACATACACTATCACTTTTATGCTCTATGTAAAATTTAAGATTTAAATCCTCGTGTTGCTGAAATTCAGCGCTTTTCCTAAAAGTAAACCTTCCTCACGTGGCCCCACACAATTAAATCTTACACCTACTTTATGATCACTTAAATGTCCTTTTTGAAATGATAAGCTACCCTCAGATATCTTAACTGCATATAAAGTTGCTTACTAATTCCCTTAGATTCCATGGTAATTATGAAGCACAGCTGTGACTCTTGTAATCATAAAATTCTCTGCAAGCCCAGGTATCAAACACAAACTTAAACCTAAACCAAAGGGCCAGATTCTGATCCCTGTGCACAGTCTGTGACTAAGTGCAAAAGGGGAAACCAGGCACCGATTTTGGCTACTGGTTATGTACAGATGGACTCCCCCAATGTACATTCACTAAGTCCTCCTCTCCAGGGTACATATGGACTGGCATTCTCTCTTTTCATATAAATAAGAACTATACTGATTCAGTCATGTTTATGATATTCAAATGAACGTGATTTGCCCCAGATTTCTAAAAATACCTATTTAAAAAAGCAGAACCACTGATGTAATAATGTTCATTAGTAGTCCATTTTAGAGGTGCACCAATCGAGATTTTGGGGGCCAATACCAATAGCTGATTTTTAAGAAGGCATTATCAGTCAATACCGATCTGACTTCCAATGTCAGCCCAGCAGCTTGGACAGCTACATGCAGCTGGTAAGTCTGGTGTGGTGGAAGGGGAGGGGCATGGGACTTTCACCCTCATTACAGGGTGGCCT